CTTTCCCAGGTCTGTAGTGCTGCCTGGGGTTGTTGTGACCCACGTGCAGGACCCGGCACTTGGCCTTGTTCAACCTCTTACCATTGGCTTCGGCCCATTGATCCAGCCTGTCCAGACCCCTCCGTAGATCCTCCCTAGGTTCAAAGCAGATCAATACACCTGCCTAACTTGGTGTCATCTGCAAATTTACTGGGAGTCCACTCAATCCCCTCATCCAGATCATTGATAAAGACATTGAAGAGGACAGGCCCTAATACTGAGCTCTGTGGAACACCACTTGTGACTGACTGCCAACTGGATTTAACTCCAGTCAGCACTCTTTGGGCCCAGCCATCCAGACAGTTTTTTATCCAGCACAGTACATTTATCCAAGCCATAAGCAGCCAGTTCCTCCAGGAATTGATTTAAATAATGAATTTAATTAATTACACTTAATTACTAGCAAATAGAGTTTTAGATTTTAAAACAAATATTTCAGGTAACATAGACTGATCATTTAATCACATCTGAAAATCTAAATCCTACTGCAAATTTTTTTTCTGACTTCTAAATATTTAGAATATTAAACTGAGAATCAAGATATGTGTACAGCAAACCTACCGAGAAAAAGGCAACATGCAGCTGTCCTGGAGAGAAAGGGATTTGAATAAGAAGTTCTTTTATGGGTCAGTAGCCTTTCAATACCTGTACGTGACACTGATTTTCTGTGATAATGAAAATTCAATGCAAAAGACACATTTTTAATTGTCAGTAAGCCACGGAGTTCCATGTGCGTCATTGCCTCATGTCAGAGAAGGACCGCTGAATACAGAGAGCTTCGTGGGCACAAAGGTAACACCAGCATTTGATGGCAGAATGTGTTGAAGTCCAGAATAGTAAATGGAGCAAGGAAAGAGACTGGGACAAATAATCCACAATAAAGTAATTGTCCTGTTCTCTGTGCTTGTTGCTACAGGTAATACTGCTTTTTTAATGTTACCAAGGAACGAAATATTTCTGAACATGTAGAAAAATGTATAAGTTTTTTTGAAAATTTTCTCAGACTTAGAATGTATTTATGTAGTGTGAAGAGATATTTACAATTAAAAGCTTTAGTTATTCAGTCTTGGAATATTTTAATTATAAATATTCATAGAGATATAAGAATTATTTGAATCTGCAAACTTTAATTGTACAATATTATAAATACTTTCTCATGAATTAACCTTTAAAATTGCTTGGTTTAAACCTAATTAAACTAATTCAGAATTAAAATTGCTTTTTATGACTAACTGAATTTATACCTGAAATGAATTGGGCTGAACAGCATAATTCTAAATAACTGTCCATATCTCCATACTAGGATTTAAATAACCCAGATTTCCTGAATGTCCTTGTAAATCTAATTCTTGGATGTGTGCATGATGCTTGCTTTCTACAGTGACTGCATAAATCAGAAGGTAGTATGTCCATCATTTTTGTTGGATATACTGTAATTGGTTTTTCCTTATGCTTTCTCTTATACAAGTTAATTTGCCTCTAGCCAAAGCTGCACTTTCTGAAACTCAGAATTCTGAAGTGTTTGTATGTATGTTTGTATATATGCACAAGGGTAAAGCATATTGGAGATAAAGAATCTTTGTTTATATGTATCTCCCTCTCCAAACTATAATTAGTAACCTACCTACAAGGTTTACCTTTTAGATCCATTTTTATGATGTGGTTAACCGTGGTTTCACTACTACTGTGTTACAGTTTGACAGGCCAGTAGAAGAACAATACCTGAAAAGAATTCAGATTCAAGAAGAGCTCCAGATTTGTGCTGAAAGCTACAAACAGTAGCCTTGACTGCTGTAACCAGGCAGGCTACAGCTCATACTGCACTAGAAAATAATCTCTTACACCACAGTGAGGCTGTCGGGATAGTCCTGGCTGAGGGTGAACGTGTGGTTTCCTTTGACAACTAACCGAGGAGTTACTAAGGGGTACTAACTGCACATTTCACTTTTACACAGTGTTAAAACAGACCCAAGCTTGGCAAAACTTAGATTGTGTTCTATGCATAGCTGTTGCTAGTGGGTCATGCTGCTCTTTACTTTTGCCTGTAGCTTGACTGCAAGACTGTGCTGAAGTTTGGCAAGACACATTAAATTAGGTCCACATGAAGTATTACATCCATATGCTTCAGAAGCTACTATTAGATGCAGCTGAGAAGGTCTTGGTTCATGTGCGCATGTGTACAGTTTGTACAAAAAAAAAATGCAGAAGGCAGAAGCTGGATTTGGTGTAAATAGGTAACACTTCTTAAAATCAGTAGAATTTGTACTGTGCAGAACAGTTTCTTAATACTCAAAGACCTGAATCTTGTCTTCTGTCAAACACAAACAGAGAATTCAAATTGAATTTGAACCATATTTTCAAGGTAGAACTTACTGTATAGAATGTTTGCCAACATAGAATGTGTAGGACCAACACAGGGAAATACCCTAACAGGACCTCCAAGTTCATATATGATTTATAGATGGAGATAAAACTAACTGACAGAAAAGCATGTCCTATGTTACCAGATTACAACTTCAGCCTGTGATGTCTCAGATCTCTCTCTTTAGCTATGCATTTTGTTAACAGATGTATTTTTCCAAATGTGTTCAAGTGTTAGGAAGTTTGTTTTGTTCATAAGGGACAACTTTCGGCATAGGAATTATATCAAAGAAATCTTCAAACTGATTAGGTGGGTCAAATGAGAAAGTCTGTCTTGTAAGCTTCCCTAAATCACTGGTAAAGCTAATTCCTAAAATACAGAAGGGAGTTTGTCAGCTTTTTTTTTGTTTGTTTGTTTGTTTTTAGAATGGGTAAAAAAGTAAAGAACGAAGCAGAGCCTCCGCCCAAGGATGTGGTAAGTTTATAAACTGCTATTTCTATAAAATAAACATTACATAATTATAGGCTCAGCTCTACCATCTTTATGTAGTTCATTACTCTCCTAGCCTACCCACGTTATTCTAAAAATATCTTTTAAAGATGATTCTGTTTCTGCTTTTCTTGGACACCATACAAACCAGAGTGACCAGGCATGTGTAGTTCTTTGTGGAGATTGTTGTCTTTGGCAGGCTTTGCAAATAGTAATGTATGAAACAATCCAGGCTTTTTATTTGAAGAACAGTATTTGGTTTCGATTTGTACAAATTGCGACCTGAAATCTGCTTGTCTTTTCAACTGGGGTGATGTTCGCTTTCTTTAAGGATGAAAGAGTTAAGAGCCTGCACTGTAATGTGCAGATATTTTTACTGAATACAAAATTTTACAGATATTTGGAATGACAGTACAATGCATTCTGGATCTTTTGCAAAGGTTCAGGTTTTTCAGGTATCATTGGAAGCACAACAGTGAAAACTACAAGAGCTAAAGCCATATATGGAATAATGGTGGTAGTGTGACTTTTTTCGAAAAGGTGGAGATTAAAGGTCTGACACTAGCACACTTTTCAAGAGTTTCTATGAATTCACAAGGTATAAAGAGACCCCCACAAAAAAAAACAGAGGTTAAAAATGTAGGTATTTTTAAAGTTTAATTGGTTTATCCTGAAAGTAGAGTAAATCAGGCAGAAACATTGAAAAGAGTATAATATCAATTCTGTGCCAGGAATTAAATAAGTTAATGAAAATCAGGGCCAAAACAAGTCACAGAGAGGATCATGAAAGCAAATGCAAAGTTCAGTATGCTGCTTAAAAAAAAAAAAAAAAAAACCAAAACCAAACAACCACCAATAGATTTGTCTGGAAAAAAATTATGATACTGCAAGAGCTATTTCAAAAGTCATAGAAAAGTTCATCAGCAAAAACCGTGTCACAACTTCAATATTAAATAAGCGTAAATAATTTTGACTAGTGCAGTAATAGCCAATAGTCATGATGTCACTGAGGCATGGCAATTGATAGCAGGTTTTGCCCTACTGTTCTGTGGAAAGATGCAGATTATAAATGAAATTCATAATCAATAATAAATCCTTGTGAAAGGAGACTTGACAAACTTCAAAACAACACAAATTCATCTAACACCATTTCTCTATGGAATAGCCTAGAAAAAGAGGAGGAGACACAAAGAATGTGTATGTGGTTACGTCTAATTAAGGGAGGCCTAAAGAGTTAGAACTGTGTCATTGCAGTCTAAGAGAAAAAATTGAAAGGGATGACAGGTAGATTTAAGGCATACAGAAGAGATAACCCCTTCCAAAGTAATAAAAATTAATTTTTTTTCAGTAAATATCTTGAAAGTCAGCAGATGCAGCACTGTAATTTCTATATCCTAAAGACACCATAAGTATTTCCAGAGAGCAGTATGGCACAGCCTACTAACTACTCAACAACTGAAAAACTTAAACGTACAGAAAAGGTCAGTAAAACTATTAAAAAGGAAGAAAGGAAAAGGAAGGAGTGAAGTCCATGTGGCATCTGCAGGTTTTGGCTTAGTTTTTACCCTTAATTGTAGTACAGGCTAGCATATCTCTTCCAACAGTCCTATCAGGGGAAAAAAAAAAAAAAAACAACGCAACAATGTTGCATAGAAAACGATATTAAATACGAAGGGAGATCATTGATTAGTTGCAGCTATCAACCAAGAAAATCTTCTAGCTATTAGAAAATTAATAGTAATCATATAAAATAAAATCTCAAAACTTTAAATTTCACCTGGGTATTTCTGATGGCAGGAAGTTGGCTGCAGACAAAATAAAAGATGTATTAGCTATTATCACCTGATTGATAATCTACTTATGAAAATGCCAAGTCCGAGAAAAGAAGCCATGAGATAAAGTGGACAAGCTTATAAACGAGAGCCTTTGTACGTGTGGAATGCTCTGAGAATGTGTGGTACTGCTGATGACTGCTTATTTTTATAGATTTCTAGCAACAGGTGGGAAACGCATCCCTTAGCCTGGCCTCTGTTTATGTTTCAGAAGGTATTCCTGAGGACGCTGTTTCTTCTGCCTTGCATAATTTGTCTTTTACTATTACACATTCTGAGAATTGGAGTTCTCCCACAAAAATATCACTTTGAGTCTCTGTCCCCATATGGATGACCTTAGTCAGTAATTCAGGCAGATAAAATATGCTGGCTTTGACATAGGTTGAAGGAACTTTTCATATGGTATCTTCATTAGGTTTTGCCTAAATTTAGACTATTTGATCATCAGCTGGGGCATAGACGTTAAAAAGGAAGCCCAAGATTACAACGTAGAAACACCTTTTGAGCAATTAATGTGTGAAGGCTAATTTGACTTGTCTTTAGTAAGGCTTTCAACAGCGGCTCTCGTAACATCCTCATAGACAAACTGATGAAGTACAAACAAGATAGAACCATAGATTCATTAAGGTTGGAAAAGATCTTTAAGATCAGGTCCAACCATTAACCTAACACTGCCAAGTCTACTGCTAAACCATGTCCCTCAGCACTGCATCTACTTGACTTTTAAACACGTCCAGGGCTGGTGATTAAACCACTTCCCTGGGCAGCCTGTTCCAATGCTTGACAACCCTTTCTGTGAAGAAATTTTTCCCAATATCCAACCTAAACCTTCCCTGGTGTAACTTGAGGCCATTTCCTCTTGTCCTATGACTTGTTACTTGGGAGAGGAGACTGAGCCCCACCTCGCAACAGCATCTTTTCCGGTAGTTGTAGAGGGTGATAAGGTCTCCCCTGAGCCTCCTTTTTCCTCTTGTTGAATCCATTATACCATCCATCATAATGGAGAGAGGTTGCCAGTGGAATGTCATGGGGTTCTATTCTGCAATCTGTGTCATCCAGTCTATCAGAATTAATGTGGATACTTTTATGAAAATGGCAGCCAGTTACTAAGCGGGCAAAAATCTATAAATACAAAATTTCAAAATCCAGAAATAAAAGGCAAAAGACCATGTCACTAGCAAATGCATTATACATGCACATGTTGAAGATCATTTACAGTTCTGGTGTTTCCATTTCAAAAAAGGTAATTGCCTTGCTTGACAACTGACTTTTATGCATCTTCATGGACCTGTTCAGCAACATGTGCTTCTAATGTAGCTGTCTGAGTTTTTTTAAATTATGTAAAACAAATAATAGATATTTAAAAATATATGCAGTATAGTAATATATTGTAATGATATTATAAAATAATTTGTATTGCTGTCTTAAATTATTAATCTGTATTTTAAAGATAAATACATGGATTTTGAGCAACTGCGTGACTCAATTATCTACTAGTTTCTATATGTAACAGAGATACACTATAGGCCTAAAATGTGAGGACAGAAGATTTTTTTCATATTAAAACAATATTTTAAATCCAAATAAGCTTAAAACTCTTTAATAGGTAGAATTTTCAGGACTCATGGAGTCTTGTTAATGAATGAAAGGCTTTTTTAGAACATTCCCTTGCTCATGTGGTGTTAGTCTTGAAGAGTCTATTAAAAGGGTGAAAACTGCCAGATTTATTAAAAGATTTATGTCCATATGAGAGAGGTCAGAAACAGAAATAAACAATTTTTATCAATTCTGGATGAGCAGGGATTATAGCATGGAAATACTTCAGCTAGTACAAGATAATAGTGAGCTAGTGAACTGTGTTGACAATGGCACAGGAGGGTCTTTTTATTTTTTTTAAGCAACCACAAAGTGCATGCCACAGAGTAACCGAGTCTTCTTCCTCATACAACACCTAAGTTCATAGGCTTTGAGCACAACTGCTCAAAAGAAGCTTTTCCTCACTTTTGGTTATGAAGCCACGGGATACTCTTGCATGTGTAACAGAATTACATAGTTTGCTGCCTTCAAGACCTCTTGGATGTACAGAGAAGTGTCAAGGATTTCCCCAAATCCTCATACAGGATGAAATGATTACATTTGGAAGTCAATTATTTCTTATTTTTTAACAATATCTCAAATTATTAAAAATTAAAATTTCTCCAAGTAAATAGCAACTCATGTTAGTATTTCTAATTCAGTGTAGATCTCAAACTAGATTTTTTTTTTTTTTAATGAAGTATGGGAGACTACCGCAGCACATGGGAAGACTCAGTAAAAATCAAACCATTCTTTATTTGTTCTTCTTTGTAGTTTGATCCGTTATTGATTGAAAGCAAAACAGCAGCAACGGTTGTGCTAATGCTTAGTTCTCCTGAAGAGAAAGTTTTGGCCCAAGCATGTGATGCTCTGTATAAATTTGCATCTAAAGGTTAGTGTTTTTGCAGTGAGATTTCCTTTGCATTGCTTAGATTTTGAAAGTAGTTCACAAGTTTTTAGTTTCCTAGCACTGAAGTCTTCATTTCATTCAGAAGTCTCTTTCAAGGCTTTGGGGGTTTTCTGAAATACCTATGAAACCTGCATTTGCAGTTATAAAGATGTCCTGTGGTTTGCATGAAGGAAATTTTAATCATTTTGTTGCAGAGTTTTATTCTTCTAATAGAACTTGTTTTAAATATAACTTAGGTATTCCCCCACCTGCATGTGGGAATGAATTCTCTTTTTTATGTTACAGTTTGAAACTTCAGTACCAGTGGAGTTAATTCAAGGTTCAGTTTTCAGCAAAAATTACTTTTTAGCTTGTTTCTGTTATTTTTGCATATAGCTCTGATGTCTGTACTTCTGTGACAGATGATTTATTGGAGACTGCTCAGCCTCCTTTATCAAGCTTATTTGCCTGTGTTGGGAACGTAACAAGTCCTAAGGTTCCAAATCTTCCAAAGATCCCTGTATTACTTGTAGCTATGAATCATGTTCCAGGTACCCAGAAGACAATTCTATAACAAAGGCTCAAAATTATGTAGCACAATTTCTTAAGCTGCCTCCAAATCATTCCATGTTGTTTTCACTTTGCAATTAATATATTTCTTGAGTGTTGCTAGTAAATTAAGTCACATCCCACAGTAAAATACAGGACAAAACAATTAAAATACAAGAACCGAGAATGAACATGGTTCTCCATTTTTTTCTCACATTGCTCACTTGTAGCCAGAAAGCACAGGTTCATTAGAAAATGAATTATAAACCTGTTGTGCAAACTGAGAATAGGAGTAGGTTGTGGAATTTGTTTCTTGGGTTTTGGGTGTTTTTTGAGTGAGTTGGAACAGAAAGCTGTGATCACATACAAAAGGCTTCTGTTCTTTACATTGCCAGAACATATTCAACTATAAAGTGCTCCATTCTCAAGTGGTAGAAAACTCAGGTGGGATTTAATGATCCAAATCCTGGTAGTTGCTACAGTTGAGGAGTAGTGCAGATCCACAGAATGAATTAACTGTTATTTTGAGGAAAATAAAATTGGGAGGCAAGAAAAGAAGACAATTAAGTTCTTAATGATATCATTCATCTGTACTTTGCTAAACAGAAAGCTGTCCTTTGTACTACCACTATGTTCTCAGACAAATAGATTTGGTGTTCAATAGACAGAAGCATCCTTTGCTTTACAAATGTGAATTAACCCTAGATACTATTAATCCTTATTAGAATTTGACACATTTATTTGAGATATAGATTAGGCAATCTCCCAAGGTCCTGCCCAGGCCTTTGTTCTTTGATTCTACAGTCCAATAAAAGATCAGTAACCGTTTTACTTTATTACATTAGAACTGTGCACTTGTTGCATATTTAGAGAATTTTTAACCTCATTACTCTTCAGGTGATGAAAACAAAGGGACACTTCTAGGTCTTGGAGCCGTGGAACAACTGTATAAACTTATCTCACATGAGGATCCAATTGTACGCAGAAATGCCATCATGGTGTTTGGCATCATGGCTTCTAATAGTGAGTCTCCATTTTTTAATACTCTTCATTGTATATCAGTGTGGTCAAAGCAATAGGTGGCCCATGTGAAAAAAAACCTATATTACCAACACAGAATAAAGGAACAAATTCAGCTAGTATGAACTCCACTCATCTTGGAAAAACAAAACTACAAGAAAAGTTAATTTTCCTCCAACCCTTATTTTTGTTTTGATGAGGCCAAATTGAAACAGTTTAATACTGGAATTTTATCTATCAGGGAAAGCCTGACTGCACAAGATACTCACTAATTTTTACAGAACTTTGGAAGAGAAAGATAGAGTAGTATTTATCATCTACAGAAAATGCTATAGTTAAGTATCAGTTGTTACTTAAGGCATTAGTGTAACTATGTGAAAACTCAAGTATTGGGGTAGAAAAAGCCCTGAATTATCAAGCATTGGCATGCATATATTTGCCCAGTTTCTTTGTCAGATCAGTGCTGCTGTAAAGGTTTCATTATCTCTATCTGAGCTAGTGAAATTAAAGTAGTCTTGAATATCTGTCAGAGACATTGCATTCACGGCAAGGTGGTGTATCTACTGTAGATATACCATTATTAAATTATTTAACCACAGAACACACATTTTCTTGTACCTTTTTATAAGGCAAGAACAGATGCATTACAGTTATGCTGGGTGGCTGAGTACCAAGTGATCAAGCTGCAGTGACTGGTTGGTAGACGAACCTACCAGTGTGACATAGGTTTGAATTTCAGTGGCTGTTATGTTTACATTGCTTTATAAGCCTACATCTAATCAATATAATTAATCAGGTCTTATTTTGGTAGGTGTTCAACCCAATTGTCTTCCATGGTGGTGTTCTCACCACTATTTAAGTCTTTTCATCAGCTGCTACCTGCTTTTCATGTTGCACTGGACCTTATGCTCATTACCTTACTTTCAGCGCAGCACTAGCATATAGTTACTCTCTTCAGACCCTGGCTTCAAATGCTGCTGCACAAATATGGAGTTTAATGACTAAATCTTCCATTTATATTCACATCTTAATTGTTTTCTTCTTTAAAAGTAGATTCAACTCATACCTTTTTTCTTACAGTTCAATACTGTAATGTGTTGATAGTAACAACACAGCCCTGTAAGATCGCACCAAGTCTGTCCCAAAGAATGGGTTTTGGTTATACAATCCAGTGGTTGTGGTTTTGCTAGTTTGAGATTAACAGCAATAAAAATGCATTCTGAAAGTCTTTACTGTGATATTAATAATCCCTATATAATTCATGGTTTCAGTTTGCAGTGTGGGCTCTGTTAGAATAAAATTGGAAAGTGATGGCTTGGAAACTAAATAATGGAAGGATTGCTTTTAATTTGATAAGTTTAAGCACAAATTATTTTAACTATTGGGGGTATGATTTCTTTGACAACTAAAAATGTGCAATATTTAATCAGAATCTGCTAGGTGCAAGTATTTAAAATAAAGTTTCAACTAAGTATTAAGGAACTTCATGTGAATCAAATGCCAAAGAATGTAATTTGGTACTTGAAATTCTCTGTTTTCTGAGCCCATAATGACCTTGGTATAACTTCAGTTTTGTGCCATTCCCAGTCAGATTTTTTGTCACTCAGAAGTAACCATAAGCACAATTCCTTGGAGCAGAATCTGTTTCTTTACTCAGCCAAGACTGCCAAATGGAGGTCTTCATATTTGTATTTATTCCATTGTAGGTGACGTCAAGAAGTTACTGAGGGAACTGGATGTCACAAGTTCTCTTATATCACAGCTGGCACCAGAAGGTAGCTTACAATATTAGTTCCTTGTGCAAATACACTCAGAAATAATTTGATTGCCATTTGATCAGACAAATTAATAAAAACTTCCTAGTAACTTACAATTGGTCATACTACATGTTAGATAGGTAATTGCTTCTATAGGAGCAGCTCTGTTACTAGAGTAGTGTTTTATGCTGTACAGACAGAGCAACTTGTTTATGGAGACATCTTCTGCTGACCACTTGCCCAGTACAGAAAGATATCATTAACAGGCAGACTAACAGCCAAATTCCTCCCTCTGCTCTTAAATCATACACAAACAATCCAAGATGCCACACCACCAGAGGGAGGAATAAATTAATACACTCACAGCATCGGATGTGAAGAAGGAAGCAAGCTTGCCAAGGATCCAGGCTGTGGGAGATGGAGTTAGCCAGGCCATGAGTCCAGTTACGTAACAGGGACTCATCTTTCTCCCCACAATCCTGGGAACTCTGTTTGCTATACACAGTCAGGAAGCCTTTCTGACAGTGAGAATCCCTACACAGCACACCTGCCACATAGACACCTCTTCCCCACTCCATATGACATACACGTGTGTTCTTGCCCTGCCTCAAAGTTAATGTGGAAGGTGGGGCACCTGGTGGTGATCTCCTAGTCAGTTCCCACCCAAGGCTGTCCAGACCCTGGGTGAAAACCAGTCAGGGGGGTCTTTGTTGCCTGGTTGTGGACATCATCCATATGCCAACCCTCATTCAGGACTGGGGGTTTAAACCCCAGAACTTCAGGATACCAGGTATGATTAACAGCTATTGTTTATTGACTTCCAATAATATTTTAAACCACTAGAACCGTGAACATATACTGTGCTGAATGAAACTTGATTGAAATATTTCTTTTTTTTTTTGCCCCCTCAGAAGATGTAGTTATCCATGAATTTGCTACTCTCTGTCTAGCACATATGGCTGTTGAATATACTACAAAAGAAAAAATATTTGAACACGGTGGATTAGAACCGCTTATCAGACTTCTAGGTAGCCCTGATCCTGATGTTAAGAAGAATTCACTTGAGTGTATCTACCTCCTGGTTCAGGTAAAGTGTGTTGTTGGTGGTTTAAATTACAGAGACAGAGAAGCACTTCCTCCACCCCTTGCCTTGCCATCCTCTTTGGGGTTAATGTTTTAAAATATGTGGTTCCTTTACTCCTCAGCGTTCCTCAATGTATTTCAAAACATTATAGCCAAGCCCTTGATTTTTACATTGGTTATGAACATAGCTGATTTGACTAATGCTGTTTAACTTAATGCAATTATCCATGCAGTATAGCAATGCGAGATCAAAATCAGATTAAGATATTTTTAATTAAATATGAATTTGTTTTCTTAGTTGGAAAATGTTAATCTCTGTAATGAGAGTTTTAATCTGTCTATCCAAAAGGTTGGAATAATCCTGTAAATTAAAGAATTAGCAATTGCATTGCGCCTTGTTTTGGCCAGCAAGTCAATGGTCACAATTTTTAACATCTTTTTAATGAGAGGTGGATGCTGTCAACAGCTACTTTCCTTACTGGGAGGAATAGATTTGTTATTGGCCACTTTCACGCTCAGCTCTAATGTCATCCATATGCTGCTTAGCAAAAGAATGGTGCATTTGTATGGCAGTTCTCTTCCATGGCTTAAGCGAATCAATTCAGTAATGAATTCAGTTTATAACTCTATCTCTTTTGGGGCATCAGAGCATGTCTATTCAGAATCACATTTTACTCTTTCTCCTTTTTTACTGTCCCACTGTCTTTGTTGCAGGGTATATCTGGATAACTGCACCTGGTGCTTGCTTATATTGATAAGGATAATTGCATGCTGCACATGTGCTATATGCTATTTAAAAGCAAATTGTAATTTATTTATTTATTTTCTATTTTAATGTAATCTACTACTTTCTTTTTATTAAGCTGCATATACACTGTTTAAAGTTGAGATTTTAAATAGTAATTTTATAATTACTAAAACAAAAGAAGATATAATCAGGCAACCACAGTAGAGTACAAAAACTATTTCCCCCCCATTTATGTAAATAAAAATGAAACTAAATTTAAGAAACTTTCTCAAAGAAACATATATGTTGACACAAACATGGCAAAACTGAAAGTAAATAGGCTTCATCAGAGAAGACTAGATTCTGTAATGTGTACTGAGGTCATGCAAAAAAAAAAAAATTAAGGTTGGTGAGGCTTGTTTATAGCCAGTTTGATTCTTATCTGAAAAGAAAGAAATATTCAGAACTGGAAGTTCTGAAATATTGACTCATTTTTTTTATGTTTGAAATCAGATTTTTGGTGTTCCTTCTGTAATGTCAGGAATTGATATACTGTTATATTCTCTATCACTAACATTCTTTGTTGAATATTTTACTGCAGGATTTTCAAAGCCGGGCTGCAGTTCGTGCACTGAATATAATTCCACCCTTGCTGGAACTACTGAAATCTGAATACCCAGTTATTCAGTTGTTAGCACTTAAGACCTTAGAAGTAATTAGCAACGACAGAGAAACCGGGATAATACTGAGAGAAAATGAAGGATTAGATTGTCTTCTGAAGATACTGGAAAACAATGTATAGTTTATTTGCCTTAAAAGTTTGTTGTTCTTGCTAAAAATGTTTATATGACTAATGAGAAATATTATTCATGTTATGGAATAGTGATAAAAGAAGAGCTCCTTACTTGGAGCTAACTATCAGAGAAATAGGATAGACTAGGATACCTACCTTACTAAGAAAGGGAGCAAAGGGATTCAGTGAAATGTTTGTTTGTTTCATTGCTTTATTGCTATTAGTAACACTGTTTTGCATTTACTGTCCATTTCTCAAACCATTGCTAGTATCAGAAAAATTCATGATACAGCTTTTTATACAATGTTTTCTCAAAAATTTTTATTATATGCTGAACTCTGATCCTGGTTCCTAGTTTCAATGCTGATCTTTTTTTTTCTGAATTTACTTTGCTATCACTGGCCTTAAAGAGAATTTTTTTTTTTTAATATTAGTATGAGACTCATTTTAGTGTTGCTTGAGTTCAGATCTCACCAAGTACAATGCGTAGAGAAGTTTGTGAAATTTTTGAAATTTTAAGGTGACAGGTACTTTCTGAATACCTGCCCAGCCCACTTTGATGTAAATTAGGAACTGTCAGGGGTTTTAATGTTGGTGGGGTTTTTTTTGTTTTGTTTTGTTTTGTTTTGTTTTTTAAATTGTGTTGCATTCTAAGGTACATCAAAGAAATTACACAAATGATACAAGTATAAAAAAATGTACCTTGCAGTATGAATAACCTGTCCAAAAGAAACTTAGGAGAATTATCCTACAAAGTTAAAAGCCAAAGATATTTTCATCCAAATTTGAAGATTGGGTTTTTTTCCTTATTAGGAATTCATCGATCTGCATGTGGAAGCTCTTGCTGTGTTGGGAAATTGTCTCAAAGATGTGCACGCTCTGCAACTGATTCAGCAGACAGGAGGCCTTAAAAAGCTGCTTTCACTTGTAGGAGCCTCTACTGTTCCTGATATTCAGAAGAATGCAGCAAAGGCAATCACCAAAGCAGCTTATGACTGTATGTGACTTTTTTTAGATCCATGGATGTGAATTTGTTTATGAAGTAAATTTTCACCCACAGTGAGGCCATCTTAACTGGTTGAAGGTAGTACTTGTGCTGAGGAAAACACTGGCAAGAATGAATTACAATGATGAATCTTGCCAATCAGAGCAGCAATTCGATTCTAAGCTATATAAACTTATGTGAAAATCTTGTGATTTTGCCTCAATTTATTTTAAAGTGTACTATATTCTTGCAAAGTGCTGTCCTCAAAAAGGAAAATGGAGCTTCGAAAATATGATCTTTCTGTTTTGTCTAGTGATGCCAGGTAACTGGCCACCTTCACCTAACCCTAGAAAAGCTGGTACTTTTTCTCCTTGCTGTCAGTTAAGACTTAATCACAAGCTTACATCCTTTTGCATACAGCTGCTCATCTAAATGTCAGGTAATTTCAAATACAAATTTCTTTAACAGGTACACAAAAAAAAAGTCTTTCAAATGGTTCTCAGATGGAATTAAATAGTTTCTTTGTCATCTTTATAATTATTGAACCTATAGTTTTTTCATATGCTTTTCTTTCACCAAGGAATTCTGAAGTAGGCAGAACACACTCATCATTTTTTCCCACAAGAATGCTCTCTTTAAATAAATCTGTGTTTGATATTCCTTCCATACATTGGCTTCTGAGTTGCAACATATGCCTAGTAGTGCTATGTAACAAAATGCAATGTAAGAAATAGCATACTTCTGTCTGTAGAAGATTTAAATTCTGTCAGGGGATTTTGATGACAGTAGAGCTTAAATATTTCATTCATGTTTCTGTCATCTCATGGTTGAATCATGGCTTTAATTTATGTGTATTTTACAAATATGTTATCTAATTTAATACTTAGCTAAAATAAATCTCTCCTTTCTAAAATATTTCAGACCTCCTTCCTTCTCTTCCTATCCTTTTTTTGCAGTTCTTTTCTCACCTTCCTTAGCTTGACATCCTGAATATTTTTAATTATTTGGATTGCAAATGACACATGAAAAGAGTGGAATTTACCTTTCCTAGTATTCTTTAAGTTTCTGTATCCTTTTTTCATTATCTATTGGAAGCTTTGCGAGTCACTGAAAGTTATTTTCATTGATGTTTAGGTATCAAAGACAGGAAGGGACCTTCTTTCTTTATATTTTCCTCTATTGTTATTTTATTATGCTGCTTAGGACCGTCAGTAACATTTTATAGTCCTGTGACAGGCTTGTAAGTAGTATGCTAAGCAGATTTATATTTGCTCCTACTACTTTCTACTGAACCTTACTCCTTTTTCATATTTATTTTCAAATAAGCATAGCCTTCTTTTCCTCTTTCACACCTTTTCAGTTTTTGTGGCCTAATATTTTAGCAGCTGTTAACAGAGGCATGCCTGAACACAGCATTTTTAAAGCACAGTGGCGAGAACCACACATAATCTATCACAGTACTGGCTCTGATCTTATATCATGTGATATTACCGTCAGTGAAGATGCATCTTCTTGTCATCCTTCTTTACAAATGGAGTCAATGTGGTTTCATTATAAAGGTTTGCTCTCCTCTTCAGCCTATGACAGTTGGTATGGATCCAGCAGGCTGGAAAAATAGATCAAAAGAAGATTTAAAATATTTGCTTCTAAGGGATAGAATTTTGGTGACAACGAGTTAGACAAAGGGCAACATGTTGTACTGGTGTAGTGGAAAACACAGTCCAGAGGTACTGCTGCTCAACACAGACACCAGAGGTACTGAATTTATTCCAGGTAAAACTACTCATCTAAAGTCACCCTTCCAGTGGAAAGAAAAGCAGCATTTGAGTCATTATATGAAAAAATCCCAGTGCAAAAAACCCATAAATTCTTGTTTGTTTGTTTTTTTGGATTCTGATTGTAAATACACTAAACAGCCTATCTAAACTGCAGCACTAATGTGTACTATACTAATGCTTGCCTTGATGTAAATCCAATATAACGCAACACAGCTCTAATTTCTGTTATGACTTTTTCATTAAATTTGCAATAGCCATACAGTAGCCCACATTCTTCTGTTTTGATAATTATGGCTGCGTTTACCAACGTTTCTCACATACTTGAGAAAAAAACCATTGCTTTAAATTGAAATGAAAAACTTACTTCTGTTATGAAGTAAGGACATGTACCTATTTAGTTTTGTTTAATCCTGGCAGCTGAATATACAGCAGCCTCTGTTTTTGAAATTATTATTGTTGACAGGTGGAATTTTTTTTTTTCCTGTTAGATGTGATATACCAGACAGGTTGTTTTTTTTTTTTTATGTCTGTTTCAGGCCTCTGGAAAGGGACTCCTGTAACTTTTTGTTGTTGTTGTAAGACAGATGTGTCCCTGAAGAGCTATTCTCAATATCAGAATAAATTACATGGTACAAACACTACATTCAATTTTAAATAGCATTTTTAGGATGCTGCTTTAAGTAAATGAAAACTGGTCATATTTCTATACATAGTCATTATCCCTTTGCCCCTGCAAATGTGTCTTGTTATTACATAATTTTGAATTTGATATATTAATTTATCAATTTTTTTATTTTGTATGCTCAGAATTACAATGGTGAATTTTCCTGTGATTCCCTCCTTGCCCAGCAAATAATGCAGTCATTTCAGAATGCAAAATATAATTTAATGCTATAAATTATTGAATATCTGTGAGTGGATTATCTGGACTGTTGATTGAGGAGGACCTGACTTTCCTCTGACAAGGCCAGACACACCAGCAACAACAAATTGCTGTGGAGTGTGTATGTAGAAAATGATGATCATGCTGACTTGAGTTTGGCCTCACGCTGCCAAATTTCTGGTTTTAAGCTCTCTCTGTTGTTTACATGTATCTAAATGCAAATTATTTCAAAAGGGAGCATACTAAACATGCTCTGTAGCCTGATTAATGTATGCTTTTTCATAATACAGGTTTTTATTTATCCAGGTTATCTCAACTCAGGATCAGTGAGAGATCATCATACTGTTTGACATTAACTTTTTTTTTTCATTTGAAATTGATATAAATAATTCCATAAGGTGATAGCAATGAGCTGAATAGGTAATCAGTAGAACACTGATGATGATTTTGGGATAATTGGGAGAAATAGGAAAATATTTTGAAAAACAAAGGTTGACTCATGATGTAGTCAATGGATGAAAAACTGGACAGAAGTGTTAGTACTCCAGTCTCTTTTAGTTGGGTGTGCATGAGTGTTTTACTTTATGTTAAATCAATGTATTCAAATTAACTAGGGGTCAAGAAATTCATCACTGTAAATATAGTATTGGGACTGGCATGTCAAGTGCTTAAGTACAAAGGTTGCTTTTCTGTCATACGTTCTTTCTTTCCTATAGTAAAGGAAAAAAAAGGAAGTAACGCATACAAACAGAGAGAGGATCAACAGAAGATATTAATCCCTTAAATAGAATTGGCCTCTGGATCTTTAAAGACTAATAATATCCATCTGTCTAGCTAGCTAAGTATAGGTGCATGCTCTTTACCATAAATTAAAATTTAAAATCTGTTTCTCCATATTATTGAAAAAATATATTTTCTGTTTAAAATATTTTAAATCACTATTTTTCACTCATTCAGATGAAGAATTGTTAATTAATATTATTTATTATTATTTCATATAGGCAAAGATTATCTTTAGAAGTATATGTGTACCCATTACAGTCATAACTACCTTTAAAAGCAAAAATAATTTTTAAGAATATCTGTATAGTAATAAGTGACTCGCTGTACAAGAACCAAATTACTGAGGCCTGAAGAATCTCTAGAGATCATTATTAGGGATTATGGACTGCTTTGGCAAGCAACAGGCCAGTGGCATACTTGGTAACTTGTCAAAACGGTCTGTAATCCAAATTAAGGCCTTCTCTCGAGAGCTGCCTCATATGTGTCGAGGTTGGGGCCAAGGTTCTGCTGCCACTTAAAATCCTCTTTGTTTTGTTCGTTGCACCTTTTGCTTTATGATTTCGATTGCATATCTCTGATGATTCTAATGTTATTTAAAATTGGACTAGAGAGGAGAAAACGGCTGGCTGTCTCATGTATGTACAAGGAGTAATTTCTGCTGTAACTTGATTTTTCAACCAAACTTTCTTTTCATTGGCTTTGTGGACTCTTATTTGTTTACTTTTATTCACTAAAAATTCAATTTTATTTAAAAGAATACTTAAAATATTTTTCTTTCCTTTTTAAACTTTTTGTTTCTAAGACAACAGTCCAAATAAGGGACTGCTTCCTCGAAGTATTAGTAAGCACTCGCAAAATTTCCATATGTGTCAAAGTCCTTCTTACTTCTCAGTTCTTGAATTTCTTTGATACAATTGAAAATTTTACCATGCTGCTGTAACTTATTATGCATATGGTTAAATTTTGGTAGACCCTTATAACTGTAGTGTTTCTATGCTGTCCAGAGCCTTTCTTGCTGAGAAAGTTTAACTCGGGGGCTCTTTCTGACAAACACCTGCACTTTTGGTCTCATCCTTTTTGGGATGAGTGGGTTTGTTAGTGTAATTGCCACATCTGTAGATACTTTGTAGATGCTGCAGGTTGTTCGTTTGTAGAGGAAGGGAACATCCAGGTCCTTCCTTAGCTGCTGCCAGTCATTGCAGTGTAGGTCCGCAGTGAACCCTGTGTCACCAGGCTAAAATACAAAATTGAAACTGTCTGCAAAGTGTTGAATTGTACATTTACTAGTATGCCTTTCAATTTTACGTGTTTAGTTCTTGTTAGCAAAAACTGAATTTAAGCACGATCCTGAGCAAATATGACCCGTTGAACTGGAAAAGCTATTTGCATCAAGCCTGTATGCATTCTGCAGTTTTAAGTCTTATGGAGAGCAAACTTTTCATTCTATTGGGCTATGTAGGTTAAAAACTGGATTTAATAGTCATCTTTTGGGCTTAATTCAGAGTCCACTGAAGTCTAAGAGGTTTTGGAACAGTCCTTCATGCACATTTCATAACTGCTGATGCCTCTGTTACCAAAATATTTCCATAGTACCAAAAGGAAGTGTTATGTTGGAAACAACTACATGAAATCAAATTCATGTCCTTTCACTGGTTTGGAAAATGAATGCAGATTAATGCTATTGCTCTTTTTCATTTAAAGCTGAAAACAGAAAAATATTAAATGAGGAAGAGGCTGAGAAGTGTCTCATAAACCTTCTGGAAATCAGTAACGATGGACTTAAAGTTACTGCTTGCCAAGCAATTTCTGCCATGTGTGAGAATTTAGCCAGCAAACGTGCGTTTGGACTCCATGGTAAGTAAGGTGAGAAGGGATGAACTGAGAACCTGCACTTGTTCTTTTATAAAGAGCATATTATAATTTTGCAGACTGACATTGGTTTATTTGAAAAATTCATGTACACAATTATTTCTTTCTTAGGGATCCCCCAACTAGTACAGTTGTTAAGCAGTGACAATGAAGAGGTAAAAGAAGCTGCAGTGACAGCTTTAGCTAATTTGACAGCAGCCTGTCCTAGTAATGCAAGGTGAGTCTGCAATAATTAAATTAGCATTTAAAACACTAATCTGAACACAAGTGATAATATTTTCATTTTTAAAGAATGCCTCATCTTGTCCTTATCATAAGAGGCAGGTCTTTTTGAATTTGACTGTAAGGCAGTTTTTGGTACTTATGAGTCATCTGGAGTAGGTTGGTTCTCATCAGTGTTACAGGAGTTACACTATCTCTATTAACATTTGCTTTATCAAGGAAAAGTATGAAGCAGATGTAATGAAAGCAGAGATATAAATCATGTTTTGCAGAGAACATATGAGGAAAATATGCCTTGTAATCTAAGACATTCAATGTGGAATATTTTTGGATAGTTCAAAATCAGTGAGGTATCCTTTAAAATTTGATGGATCATTCAACTTTTTTTGACCAATTTAAACCCAGTTTTTGAGGGAGATAGCACTAAGGTATTCCGAACATTGGCGTTGTCTTTCTCTTGCTTTTCTCATTGTTTTCCAAATAACAGAGAATGCACTATGAGCATTCTTTAGAAGAAAAGTGTAACTTCAGTATACAGAAAAACTTAACAAAGGATGGTTAGCTGATTATAAGTTCCAAAATAATTATATCAACTAAATTCCACTGTCAGTTACAGAGTTCTGTTTTCCCAACTCTATTAATAAAGTTCTGTTCAGGGAAAAGAAACAGAGCAGTCTGACGTATATGAGCAATCACATGTAACTAACAAACCATAAAATAAAATTCCTTAAAAGTTTCCTGGAATATAGTTAAGGAAGTTGTAATCCATTCACGGGCATTCTTTGAAGTGAAAAAGTAAAATAACTCACCAAATAAATTATTTGTTTCAATTTATTGATTCAGCTCTAATAGTCACCAGTATTCACTTAATGTTACCAGATGGGGCCATAATTTGACACAAGAGAATAATACTCTGTTGTCAGATTCACATGGTAGATTTTTTTTTTTTTTCTGATATTCTGCTCTCCTCATGTGCATGACTCCTCGGCTGGTGTCAGTGGGAGTCATACACACATAAAAAGAGCACAGTACTGGAGTCTAGGGGTCAAACTTTAGCTCTGCTACAGCTGGTTTTCATAGCACAGCCCTTTGAGGTTTCACATTGTGAAAAGGGAATCTCTGGAGAGTTTTGCGTTGGTATAGTAGCTTATGCCAACTCATTCAGTTTCTTTTGCCAAGGAGATAGTCAGGACATTGTTTAGCTTGACTGCTAGAACAATTCGCTGAGACCTCAGGCAGGGAAATAGCTGTCTCTGTTCCTCTGCATTATAATGGAGTCCGTATTTGTTTCTTGCTGGGTAGAGCCAGGAAATTGTAAAGGTGGCTTACATATACTTCTCTCTCTTTGCAGTCTAGCTCCACGTACAATATGAAAGCACCAGATAATCTAATCACAGGTCTTCTGTGAAAATCAGGAAGCAATAATTTACATTAAATATGTATATTGGATGAATGCCATATGACTATATAATTGCTTCAAAGCTTCATTTCTAAATCAAAACCATTAATAAGTCATAGAAGGGTCCAAGTGTGACTAGGATCTATAACTGAATATACAGAGTTGAACTCTTAGCTGATACAAATTGGTCTAGTTCCAGCTCACTGAGTATCTGGCCCATATTTATTTTACATTTACATAGCAGGAAAAAAAATAGTTTGGAGAAAATTCATTCCAGTTTAAATTACCATAATTGTATTTCACTCTGGATTATTTGTGTGTATGTCTTGTAAACCATGGAAAATAAGTGTATATGTAATGAAGATTCCGATATACTTTTATAACAACGTGACTTTGCTGTGTAATTATGTTGACAATATTCTGGTCCCAAATGAGACTGGTACCCTTTTATTGGTTATATATTAGATTCTTGTTATAAACCCTCCAAGAATATTAAATCATAAAGCTAGTAGTAGCAGGTAGACCTTATGTGTCAAGAACAAAATGGGTACAGTAAAGGGGAAGAGTATTTATTATGAATGTTTTCAAGCCAAAACTTCAGTCTTGCTGAGCTCACATACCTGTGTTCTGCCATGTTTCATTTCATGAACGTTTTTGCATGTATTACATTGACTGAAGGATGTGTACCTTGCCCTTTCATTTTATACAGTATATATTACAGAACGTAAAGAGTACAAGACGCTGCTATTTTTGCTGGAGATTTGTTGTTCTCATTAGGAATATTTTGTCAAGAAGTGTTGTCTGCTTTTTATATAACATGGCGAAAAAAAAAAACCAAACAAGTTAAAACAAATTGTGTAATTAAGGTTCCCACAATAGCAAGCTCATAAGGATAAAGTCTTCCATTGATTAATACAAGAACAGCATAGGCAATTGGCAATACTACCCCCCACTAATATATATTAACCTTGACCTTTAGGTGCTTCCCCACAGCAATGAAAGGCTAGTTCTATACCCCTACCCAATCAATCCTTTGTTTCTCAACTGAGACAGCTAATAAAGGTGTCAAATATGGTAGGGGTTTTGTAATTAGAACACCTGTTCACGATGAACGGGACAGAGACCAGCTTGTCACTTCACACAAGTCCCCAAGCAACCATGATTTGGCAAAAATGAATGAATGAATGACTCTAGTCCCTGTAGCTTTTTTTAACCAAAAATCTAGAGAAGAGAACATGAGTCCCATAGAAATGGTTTGAGTTTTCAGGTTTACTGGAACTGGATTTTCAGTATGATCTCTACCGGAACATGTAAAAACTACTATATATGACATCTAAAATATTTCAACATTTACATTTTTGTTGCAGAGCTGATGTTGTGTCAATGCTTCAGTACCATGTAGAAAAAAAGTGCAGTGGTCAAATGCTTCATTAGTTTACAGATTGACACCCCTGGATGATGATTCTATCAGAACGTTATCGTAAAGTAATTACAGAATTTTAATGATGCTGTATAGTGATGATACATTCCTTGTAAACTTGTTAATAATTAAGCCAAATAGAAATAAAATTGCAAAGTATACTGCAGTTTAAAATCCCATATACTTATTCTAACATACAGTAAAGAAATTATTTTCTTATGTATATAACTGCAAGGCCATCCTTGACATATGTGTCAGAGCTGTTTCTGTGGTCTGCTTCTGGGAAGAAGAGAATTATGTTCAGCTGGCTCTTTGCATCTACTCCACTTTTCATAATCCAGAACACTACCTTGCTTTATTGAAAACTGTATACAGTTATCTGGACAGCAGAATGTCATTTTAAAGAATCTCTGAAATCTGTCTATATTTGATGCATCCAAGCATCGGGGAATGTAGACAGAGGCACTTCAATAATGTACGTTATGCACAGACTGAAAAATTACACACAAACGAAGAAACAGCAGTGCCATCTATTGGACAGAAAAATAAATTAATCTGTGTTGCACAACTAACTGGAGAACAAACGTTTTATTTCTGCCTCTGCCTATTTTTTTCCCTTTAATGTATTATCAATTACTTTTGCTTTTAATGTGTTTAGGCTAAGCTAATCCTGTCAAATATAGATATGATATTAGTTAGAAGTCAAACACAGAAATAAGATCTCAACTGTACCAGTTAGACATTTGCTTGACCAGCTCTTTTCTTCAGTATTGTTGTAGCACAAATGCCATTTTTAATAGCTGTCTTCATAAATCTGGCAATGTCTGAATTCTGGGCACCTAATGGAGTTAGCACTAAAGAAAAACATATGCTCTGAAATTGAGAGCTTTGTACTAGACATGAAAACTAATTAACAGCTTCAATAATATTTGTCTTAAAATGTTTCTTTTAAGAGCAAAATTTGTAGCATCCAGTTAGAGTTTGGTCTGGGAGAAGAAGGAAAGGGTTGTTTTTTGTTCAGCTGTACTAAGGGCTGCAGGAAATTGTGGTACAGACTTATGAGTTGGCAGAGTATTTCTCCCAGGGTTTATGATTAGTGTCACGTTATATACTTCTAAGTATTATATCTGGATTCAAGATAGTGAAGTATCATCCCAAAAATTGCAAAGACAGAAAGCTTGATGTTGCTTAATTTTCTAATTCTTTAATTCTTTCCAGGAATCAATGAACCTATTTACAGGAACAATATTATGGCCGTATAAGCAGTTACAGGCATTATAACAGCATCTGAATATGTGCTTTCTCAAACATATAAAGATTTCCAAGTTTTGGGAATAGGAAAATAGGTTGGGAACTCACTGGTTATGGGCAGTGCCCAGTGAGGAGAAACTGAGTTGTTCCCTTGACTTCAGTTGGTGTTGCATCTATTCCAAACTGAAACTCGTATCTTGATCTAGTGACCAAATACTGATGTAAATTATATTCTCAGTCTATTTCATGTGGATAATACTCACCTGTAGTGGGAGTCTCTCACCTTCTTAAACAGAGATTTTCAGTATCCACAACAGACTTTTATTGGCTATAAGACAGGTGTGGCTGTCAAGGAATAAATTTAAAGAATGTCCAGTTTTCTCACGTTTCAAATTTTATTATTATCATTAGGAAGTAATGATTATTACCATTAGCTAGTAATATCACCAGCTGGTCATCTTCGCTACTAGAAAATGGGAAACTTAATCATAGCTTTTCTCTTTCAAGATGGTAGATGAAACCTAATTCACATAAATGGATCAATACAGAAGCGTTGATATTACGTAAGATAATTGGCATGACTCTATGCATTCATTTATGAGACCAGGAACAAAAATTTCTAATACATGATAGTTACGTTTAAGAACAGAAATAGGTAATAATCCATCGTATAGGTTTTGCCTTTTTGATGGTTTCATAGCTCCTTATAAGTTTTTGTTTCTGAAGGAGGGAGTCAACAATAGAATGTCACTGGCGGTGTTGTGTAGAGGTAACATGTTTTACTACTGACCCCTAGTGACAGAATTACAGTTTGGAGCTACAGTGAGGCAAGGAAAAGGGGTTTTGTTGGGTTTTCAGATTTATGCTATTTTTTACAGGAGCACCCATTCTGCTGAGCCCTTTGCAAACAGAAACAGTTAACTCATGCC